TATTGTCAAACTTTTAAATTTAAGTAACACACATTTTAGGTTCCTTTCAGAAATACAAGCTGATAAGAGCTTATTATTTCAGCTCTTCTATCAGTCAATTTAGTCAATTCCTGACGACAGACCGATTTCGATCAAACTCAGTATGATTGGCCCGTACTAAATATTTACACGAAATTTTAATTCGATGTCTATCTTGGTTATTTTAATATATACTTTATTTAAAAGTCTATATTAACATTCACGTAATTTGTATGTTTGAGGTGTTTGACAAATTTAGAATCAAAATCGACTTGCGACACCTTTAATATAGAGTGTCGGTCCATTAACTTTAATTCACACAAAATCTTTGGAGCTAAACAACATATAAAATTACTGTTTAATAATTCATTCCGTACCCCAATGAAGACGCCCCGGGACAGCTCAATCAGTACAGTGACTAGTTGCGGGCTGGTTGACGGTGGTTCGATCCCTGACATTGGGTTTTCTTCCAGCCTCTGAGTCCAGACTGACTCTCGGGCTCACCCAACCTCTTATCGAATGGATACCGGAGTCCTTTCTCGAAGATAAAGCGCGGGCGGGGCGTGATGCTGACCACTCACCCTCATCTGGTGCAGAGGTCAAGAAAGAGTAGGAGCTATAACTCCACTCCCCTAAGCGCCTACATGGTGTGTATTACTCTTTTATCCCAATGAAGACACAACAGTTCTTCGTAACTGATATTATTGTATTTAAAAGGTATTAACGAAAATAATCGCTAACTACTCTGGAGTCATGTGAAATAAAAAAAAATAATACATTTTATGAGCAAAATACGATAATACGTACTGTTAGGCCTACTGATTGTTAAAGCATTTGGTGCATACGCCGTAGCGATCGCTTTATTTTAGATTTAAAGGCAGCTTTCTTTAGGTCAGGGCTCTTGTATATTTCTGGATCTAACTCATTTTTCACTTGGAGAAAAATTGTTGGCCTGTGTATTGTGCAGTAAGAAAGATGCAAAGGAAGGAAGCGAAAGTAGTCAAAAGAAGAGCCAACGGACAAGAAATAAGAATATAAGGAAAAGAGAGAAATAAGAAAAGAAGTGTTGAATGTTTTTGAACAACATTCGTGATTCCGGAAACAAAACACGACAGCTCATTCAGTACAGTGCCCTAGTGTATTTGAATTAATAGACCAGACCTGTCACGGAAAACTGAATGGTTTATTAATTCATTATTGCAAGGCAGTTTTTAAGACAGGACCTGACTCTTATCACGGCACTTTCCTTTCATATTTCTGATTATATTTAATCTAACATTCACTTCATACCATAATAAACCAATTTAACTTATTAAACGATTTATCGAATACAATTTAATTGACAACACTCTGTGTTGTGTTGTGCTTCAGACTCTCGGAAACAATCATATTTGCAGAACAGGTTGATAAAAACCTCTGATCTTTACTTGAAAATTCTAAATGAAACTATGTGGGTAAATAAATTATAAATGAACAAGCTAATTTAGGCTGTATATCATTATGTTTAGATTTATCAATTAAATATTTTCAAATTTGCGAATAATTTTTCTGTACCCTAGGAATAACACCAGGCATATTTTCCATCTTTGACACGCTTACATTATTTTAAGCCCACTAATTACTTTTCGACGTTTCAGAGCCTTATAATGTTTGATTTAATCTTAATGTTGCACCAGTACGGAAATAGCAAAGGATATTCGACACAAATTATTCCTAACCCCTAAAATGAAATATAATGAAAATCGTAAGAATAGTTTGGCAAATGGAAACAGATACCTACACACGTGATACGCCCCTGTTATAATTTCATTGATATGTCAATCATGCAACGGTAAACTGTCCTTTAAATTATACAGTAAATCTTTTGAAAAACACACTGAAACTCAGTTCTAAGCGCAGCTGTTATCGAAATGTTTATCAGACACATTCCCGATCCGCTAACAATTATCAACCGTATCTCAAAAGCAACGAATCTGACAACACCATCAGGCTTTCAGATCCTTATTCAATTATTGTTTCGGGTCAGTGGTCCAGTATTTGCTCGAACTGAGCGAATAAATAATTAACCCAACTTTACACACTCCGTTATTCCAAATTGTACACGCGTATTTTCTCTTTAGAAAGCAGAGGATCGATTCCATGGAGACTGGATGTGCTGACTGACTACTTGGTCTCTTGGGCAGAGAACCTGCCTGGGTTAGTCACGATTTCATGCAGCATAGTTCGGTTTGCAATTCTCGCCGTAAGGAAATCTATTGTAGCCGAAGTCTAACTCAAAACTCGATACGTTGTGTTCTGCATAGTTTTCCAAATGATAATTTTAATTTACACAGACTTTTTAGTATTAGGAGTAAATTTTTACTAAAGTAAGTATACCATCCGAAGTTTCACACAGTTTACATTTTGAAGTCATCTTGCTCAACGAGATGAAGATGGCACATCTGAATTGGGAATAGAGCGTTATGTCACTGAAGTGTAACATCCTTGAACTGGCAGATGAATGTGTCATTTTAACAAAACTTGTGAATAATATTTACTCTATTTCTTACGTTCAATCACGGTCATTATTGAAAACAAGTGACAGAGAATACGCAGCCCCTTTGTGCGATTAAGAATTAAATCCAAATGAATACAGAATCATTATATTATATAGAAATTCAAACAAATAATTCAAAAAGAAGAAAGCCAGTTCAACACACGTTGACATAAAATTCATTGCTACTCTGTACAATATTGCGTAGCAGATGACCAAGAATTCTTCCGTATGATGTTCAGACTATATATATAAAAAGTCCACAGAAGTTCGCGCAGTTACAAATAAGCATCTTTTCAACTCTTTGCCATCGTAACTTGGGTTTTACAGTTATTATTTCATAATATACAGGGCTGCCTTGTTCACTGTTCGTCGAATAAAGGATATTTCGGACAGAAATTACGATCGTATGTTTAAAAAGATAATTCAAATCATTCCAATTACGTGTATAAAATGTGTCGAAAGATAATGGTCTGTGATAAGATATCGCAGACGCCTCAAACCTGTTCTACCTACAAGTTGCACTTTTCCTATTTATTTTAAAAATTTGGAAAAAGGACACTGCGATGGAATTCTGTTTCGGTTTGGTATTTCTTGTTCAACCACAAAAATTTGTTCTTCTCGGTTTATCACTGTCTTAGAGTTAGAATAAGCCAAATCTCACAAAGAAATTTTAGTATCACAGGTTAACCTTGTTAATCATAATAGTAAGTTAAAACGTGTAGGCCAAAACAGAAGAACTTTGCAACTGGAAAAATCATTTAGAATTCTATGCATTTAACAGTTCATCTAATACAACACTTGCTGAATTTTCGTAAAATACTTTGAGTTTACTATTTTAATATAAGCAGATTTATTATTTTCAAATCAACTTAAAAGCTCCTTCAGGATATTCATCAACCAATATGGAAGCAATAGCTGAAGATCAGACTACCAGAACTTTTGAGTCTTCTCTTTAATGTGGGTTAATTCAATGTTTTCAAAGCAACTGAAAGTTAGTTATCATAATAAAGAACAGAACATATGTTTGGTGGTTTGTTTCTGCTAGCAGGCATGCAAGTAGCACAAAATTGAAATTGATTTTAATTCTTTTCAACGTTCGGCCAGCCCAGAATCAGGTATAAGATGTGCCGATGCTGACAGGGGCCGAGTTGTTCTAATATTACAATGAGCACATGCAGAACGATTCGAGGCTACACGAGCAGTAACTCCAACTTTAGGAAACCAAAACCACTCTTTACGTCTTCTCCTTGTTTATAAGAATAAGGAAACCAATACTGTCTCTCAGCTACCTCAAATGATGATACTTGAGGTGTACGGTTCATTGTTTTCTCGGGATGCGTGGCTTAAGGTTTCTGACGCTGTAGCCAAAAGTCGACCTTCCACGTTTTTGAATGACAGCAGTGATCTCAGAATTGTCTGGGGTTAATGGAATTTGCGTGGGTGGGCGGTTGTGATGATGTCATCACTAAGAATCTCACTAACCTTCCGAAATCATATTGGTACAAGCTCTTGCGTAAAGTGATAGATGAAACTGCCTGTGAACGGCTCGACAGATGTCTCTTTAAATTCATCAATTTTAAATGAAAACAAAACATGTTAATCAGTTCCTGAGTTGTTCATGCATACGGACAGAGGGTTTTACGGTAAACTTTTATAAGTTGTTCTGTAGTTTACGAAAGCCCCTGAAACAGAAATATATTTCTACGTTTATAAGCGAAGCTAGACTGTTAACAAAAGCTGATGTACTAAATTTGTTGCATTAAAGACCTGTACAACAAACTGTATAATTTATAACTGGAGATAAACTTCATAGATCATGCTGCCTGCAGGCCAAATTTCTTCATTACTGATCATTATGTTTATTGTTTATATCAAAAACGGAGGCGTGTTTTAATTCGGGACCCTTCACGGACTGACGATGTAAAGTTATTTATATCCATAGCCGCAAGTGTTTTAATTACGGTAGCAGATAAATGTGACAGGGCAGTTGAAATTACGGACAATGAGTTGGTATAAAGATATATCTACCACACGCCCTAATTTGTGGATGATTCAGGACTTCGCCCTGTTTTCCCATTATAAGTTTATTCGACTGCTGCACAGGGGTCGGAGATACGTAGGGCGAGATTATAAAATAATACCCTGTTTTAAAATACAGGAATTTTTGTTTGTGTATTTTTCACGGACACACATTTTGAAACAAATAATAAATTCGAGTAATTTTAAAAAGTGCACAAAATTATTATCGTCACCATGCTACTACATGTTAGCCATAGAATTCAGTTTGTATATTAATTTATAAGTGTTTTAATCTAATATGGCTGTTTTGTGGTTGTAGCGCCTGTAGTCTGGTAGAACATTGTCCATGTTAAAGAGGCGCTCGCTGCCTCTGTCAAAAGGGCGAGGAATCGGTTTAAAACATTTGAACCGGTCGGATGTGATAGAACGTGGTCCGTCCAATGGGAAAAATTATTCGGATCGGTTGAGAACAATGGGGCCAATGGGAGTAGGGCCAGAGGGAGGGGGAACACAAGCATAGCTCTGACATGCAAGGGAGAATTACATAACGTAAATCTTTCGACTGCAGTTTGAAGCACATCAGTTGCCAACTAAATAAGTTGAAAACCACGTTTGTTTGTAGTGTTGTGGGGAGATCGTGGATCTGTTAAATCGAGTGATGTAAGAAGAGTACCTAATGTAGCAGCTGGCATGTAAGTACCTGCCACGTACGGTAATATCTGTATCCTAATACCTGTGTGTACATCAGCCTCATGAGACAAAACACGTTCATAGCAGCGACAGTAACAAGCACCTAGCAAACACCCTGAGGCAGATGTGACATCTCATTATTAAGAATTCAAGAAATTCTGCCTGTTCATTTCAATACAATTATACTGAACTCTAAACTGTCATCCGTTCTACACATTTATTCCACTAACAGCGTTATATGTCCCAACCAAACCACCGTAATAAGGGATAACCCATAATTTTAAAATTACAAAAGACATTAACAACTTTAAAATAACGAACATAAACAATATTGAAGATTTCTGTCTACTGGGTTGTTGCGCTGTGTAGTCTGGCAGATGTTTACCAACGTTGCAGAGGTCATACTGCCTCCATCATCAGGGCGATGAGTATGAAGATTTCTGTCTACTGGGTTGTTGCGCTGTGTAGTCTGGCAGATGTTTACCAACGTTGCAGAGGTCATACTGCCTCCATCATCAGGGCGATGAGTATGAAGATTTCTGTCTACTGGGTTGTTGCGCTGTGTAGTCTGGCAGATGTTTACCAACGTTGCAGAGGTCATACTGCCTCCATCATCAGGGCGATGAGTATGAAGATTTCTGTCTACTGGGTTGTTGCGCTGTGTAGTCTGGCAGATGTTTACCAACGTTTCAGAGGGAATACTGCCTCCGTCTTCATACTCACCGCTGTGAAAACCTCAAATCATACATACACAATATTAATGCATATTGATGTTGCGTCCCTATACGACTACGTAATTCGTATTAATAGTGATCAGTGGCGGTGTTTTGCTACTTTCGCAGTCAAAGTGCGCCAGGTGTCAGGTAATTACGTCTGTAATCTGTGACACGCTACACATTCACAAATTCTCTGATGTTCTACCGCTGACAATTCATTAATACAAAACCATTCATTACTGTTCGCAGAGGCCATTGAATAAAAACAGGACGTATTCTAGCACTGTGTTTAATAGCAGTATTTCCAATGTATGGTAAATGTTCGGAAGTTTAACAGCATTCGTATGTACCATATGTATGGCCTACATCGAATGACCTCAGAGGTAAATAGCTGAGATAGTGCAAACGAAAAAAAAAGTGACTGAAATATTTTTGGTGTCCTGTCTCCAGTTATTCCATCATCCGCCCGCATTTCTTAAGATGGGCGTAAGGCAGCTACGTCAAACAAATGCGATATCGAATAGAGATTGAAAAGTTTGTCGGCGAGTCACAAATTTTGGTTATCCCGGGCAGTTTTCATATCTAAAACTTTTTACTTTGGAAAATGCTGAAAGAACGCGTATACAGAGATTCATTACCCCGAAATGCGTTTCAGGTGAATGGGAACATCAAACATGTTATTGCAAGAATTTATAAACACGCATTGGATGCATTCATAGAAAATGCAGCAGTAAGACTTGACAGATGCTGGAACGAAATGGAGGACACTTACAAAACGCAATATATCCTCATGTTCAATAATCTGTGTGTACACTAGAATATTTCGAACAAATACTTCCATTAATGAATTTCGGGTACTTTACTTTGCGCAACTCTGTATTTTCTGCGATACCCTGGTTCGAATTCGCAAATACGTGACGATATTTAAGTATGATAATATACTTCGACCGTTACACTCAGATTATAAGACAGTAAATGTCAAAGAAAATGTCTCGGACTCACTTAACATGATTGCTTGAATATGTAAATAGACTTTCGTGCAACAGCCGCGTCGAATGTTTGGTTTCAACCACTGTTTCGGTAAACATTGCAGTTGCCAATTTCAAGGTCTTTAATACCAAATATTCACACCAGGAATCATAATTTAAACATTTACAAACAAGTTCTTTCTAATAAATTGTATTAGTTGAGTGATTTATAGACTTGAAAAATTAAACATTCACGACTATTCTTAAAAATAAACATATGTAAGATCTTAGGTTTTCACGGCGGTGAATCTGAAGATGGCTGTTTTCTGGGTTTTACGCCATGTAGTCTGGTAAAAGTTTACTGACGTTTCAGAGGTCTTTGCTGCCGCCATTACTCATCACCCTGATGATGGACCTCTGAAATGTCGGTAAACTTCTATCAGACTACACGGCGCATAACATAGAGGACATCCATCAGCAAACATATACAGGCTGGATGGGAAGTAAGTAGGCATTAAATAATCGCTATACATTGGAAATATAGAGGTTATAACCATTTCTCAATACCTACTTACTTCCCACCCACCCTGTAGTTTGTCTATGGTCTACAAATTTTCTGTAGTTTTCTTTTATCTCTGCTCCTACACAATTTTGTGAATTATCGAATATCAGAATGCTAGTTTTCTGAATCAGATATCTTAATTCTTTCTGAAAAAATATTGACAAACATTTAAAAATTTTAAAAAAATGTCTTGCAACACAACATTTCTTCCATTGAGTATTAGTGATTTTTCACAAAATTCTATGATAATAAATTTGAATACCCTTTTTCCAGTCATAGTAAAGAGAGAAGTTGTGGATTTCAGAAAGAGACTGAAATTCTTTTAAATAAAAATAGCAATTAACGAAAGGGAAATATTTCTTGTTGTAAACAAATTCCTGTATAAAAATGGCCCAAGAACAATTTTGTAACTATAGACAGAAGCCCATTACTCTCAGAATATAAACTGCAATTATACACAAGAAAGAATGCAATTAGTACAGATAACTTAATGGATCAGAATCCTGTTTCAGGTTTTGATTGTCGTTCATGTACTTAAGAAATTCCATAATACCGATTGAGTCGAAAGGTTCATTACCTTATTCAGAAGAGCCCGTCACTGGTCCCTCTTCTGACCAACATATATCCACATCACCCATCTTATTGTCTTAATTACTACTTTAATATTACCCTGAACCTACGTGTAGGTGTTCTAAGTGATCTTTTCATCTCACCTTCTTTTACTCTGTACACACCGCCAATCTAATCCTTTTTGACAAATTGTTCTTAATAATATTTGTACAAGAGAACAGTTAAGGGTGCCTCATTATGCATCTTAATACGACACAAAATCAGAACAGCAATGCGGTTTCAGCTAAAGTTAGACGTCGCAAATATTTATTGCCTTTCAGGGAAAAATAAGAAGAATGAATTTGCAGCCACGTGTAGTGATTCAGAAACATTGTGTCCATTAAGAAAAGTCTTAAAACATTAGTGTAGGCTATTCATTTTATTCTTTTTATTTTATGTGAGTCTCGCAAGAGCTGAGGTTATAGTGTCAGAATCTATCTTTTCTTATTGCACACTTTTAAATCTATAAAACTTGGTCAGGATCTGAAAAAATATTGGAACCATATGCCAGGAAACGCAAGAATTGAGGCGCGATAGATTGGGATGGACACAATGAATCGATGACAGTAGGCACCATTTAAGTACAAAATCAACAAAATTTAACCTTTCCATTCATTATAAAACACAAGTAAGTTTCATGTTCTCCCATGTGAGTAAAACGTCACTGTAGAGTAAAACTGCAAATTACGAAAGGTTAGGTGGACTAGGTTGTCGGTGTGTCGACGCGATCTGCGACCAGATGAACGGACACACGTCATCACTCATAAACACAGAGAGAACTTTGCAGCGCAGCGACATAGGAACGTTCATGGCCAATAAATAAAATAAATAACCCCAATACTACAAAGGGTTTAAAACAAAGTGTAATGCAAACAGTGTCAAACACATTGTATGCATAAAGGCTTCCAAAGGACTACACTTTTTCCATCGCTGTTGACTACGAGACTTTCAACGGAACACTGAAAATGTAGTGGATTGTTATATTTTGGTGGTCAACGTATTTGTATTATTCTGACAGATTAAAGAATGAGACTAGCTCATGGTGTGTGCTTGATTTGAATTTGTAAATTTTAGTAATATTTTCAAAGTAACAAATCCAACTATGAGATTTGCATGCTCTTAATAATTTATTTAAAATTCAGGAAGACCATGTTGGCTTTTCAAAGAAATTTCTCTAGGAATTCTAAGCCTCGTAACTGCATAGAAATTTTCTTTATTAATTAAAAGGAAAATCGTTGTATTTAAAAATATTCTCAAATTTTTATCGAAAATAAGATACATAGCTGCCAAATCTTCAAATAATAGAAAGGGCACAGTGATGCTGGTTTATAATAGATATTATGTATTTCGTTCTTACCACTTAACCAGTAAAAACTTTAAATGCACTCTTCTGTAAAGAATTGGCATAAGGGAGGAAATCAAGTTTAACAAGAAAGTAAAATACGTGTGTAAAAACGAAAGTAAAAGTAATCTTTCATTACGAACCAGTGCTATTTTCTTATAATGCATAAATTCCAGAGTCTTTTTTGGGAAGATTTAGGAGTGAATATATGAGAATTATCTTACTAGCAGAAGCCATACATTAAAATGTAAATGAATGATTTCGACAGAAAATATTTCAACACTAGTATTCTGACAGTCAATCATTATTGTGACGAAATAATGTGATTTAGTGCCTTAATACTAGCTCTATTTTTATGTAATAGTGATGAAGTGAAGCTAAGCAAAACATCAGCTTGTCGGTAAATTCTATATGTACCTGAAAAAATTACACTTATTCCGTAATTACTCTAATAAAATGTTCTGAATACTAAGTGGACACAATTTGGAGAGCTTCTAAGATGCTATTATACGTAAGTAACATTATTGGTGAAATTTTTATAAGTTATTATGTAGGCCTATAACATGAAACCTACAAAGATTTAGCAGCAACATTATGGATACTCTATGTCAAAATGCTATTAGCTTACTAGATACTGTACACATTTCTTTTGTTTCAACTTTCGGATGGAAATAATGAGGGCTCATACTTCAAGTTTCTTTGAAGTAAAACTATAAAAATGTTTATGACTTGTTAAAACGGGTTTTGTCAGTATACCAGGACATTTCAGAAAGCAATTTCTGCATAATTATATAAAATATTCTCA